CGTGGCCATCGTGACGGGCGGGACCGACGGCATCGGGCTGGCCACAGCGCGGCGGCTGGCCCGGCTGGGCATGCGCGTGGTCATAGCCGGGAACAACACGGCGAAGGCGAACGACGTCGTCTCCCGGATCCGCGAGGAGACGAAGAACGAGAAGGTGCATTTCCTGTTCTGCGACCTGGCCTCCCTCCGCTCCGTCCGGAAGTTTGCCCGCGACTTCCTGTCGCGGGGTTTCCCGCTGCACGTGCTGGTCAACAACGCCGGCGTCATGATGGTTCCCCCCCGGCCGCACCGAGGACGGCTTCGAGCGCCACTTCGGCGTCAACTTCCTGGGCCACTTCCTGCTGACGCACCTGCTGCTGGACGCGCTGACGTCGGCGGGGTCGCCGGGTCAGAGGTCCAGGGTGGTCACCGTGGCGTCGGCCACGCACTACGTGGGGGAGCTGGACCCGGCGGACCCACAGGACCGGAAGTCGCCCTACTCAGCGCACGCGGCCTACGCGCGGAGCAAGCTGGCGCTAGTCCTGTTCTCACAGCGGCTTCAGCGGCTGCTAGCGGCACGCGGCCACCCCGTGACCGCCAACCTGGTCGACCCGGGCGTCGTGGACACGGAGCTCTTCCGCCACGTGTGGTGCGGCACGCGGGCCGTGCAGCGGGCGCTCGGCTGGCTGCTCTTCAAGACCCCCGACGAGGGCGCCTGGACCTCTGTCTACGCCGCCGCCGCCCCGGAGCTGGAAGGGGTTGGCGGCCGCTACCTCTACAATGAGGCTGAGACTGAACCACTGGGCCTCGCTCGGGACGTGGAGCTGCAGGCGCGGCTGTGGGCGGAGAGCTGCCGACTGGCGGGGATCCCTGACGGGATGGGTGTAGGCGTGGAGTAGGCCCGCGCCCGCCATGGCACCACGTACTCTGCACCAAGCACCTACTTGGACCTGATGCTGTGATGATGTGGGCGTATGACATCATCGCCCGCTACCGCCTCTACCCCCAAGCTCCCATGGGGCCCCCAGCCAGGCAGTGGAGCACCATAAAGGACTCTGCACCAAGAAAAAATAATAATAAAAATTCAGCTGCCAATTGATTTCTTTCACAGACATGCAATAAATCTCTTACTCAACCCTTGCTCTAACATCTCTAGTCTCCCTTGTTTCAGACCATCAGGCTTCCTGGTTCCAACTGTGGTTTCGACTTTGTCTTGTAACGTTGGTTTTAAAACTAAACCACCTCTTCATTTCTAGAATTCCACATAGTTTGATACCTATCCTTATGACCACATGCTTTGTTAGCTGTATACAGTCATTTTACTGTCAGACTTTGTATAATCTTGGAAGGAATGGTCATGAACACGAATTCACGCTGCAGTTTTTAATCTTGACCTCACCTCTTTCCCACCTGTGTTTCCTGCTGAATCCGGGCTAGGCTGAGGTGAGGACTCTGACACTCAGCCCAGTCCAGTGTAAACCCTGGCACAAGTTAGGAGCTCTCTGAACATGGACACCTGAATCCAGGTCAGTGGTGTTTATTGAACACTCACCAGGCTTTGTGTTCCTCTGAAACGTTTTACATCTCCCCATTCATCTGCTTCTTATTCCTTTGGGGAACACAGGGCTGTTCCTAGTTTGAGTTTCAAAACCTACATCTTTAGTAAAACTAAAAGTCCTTACAACAAAGAAAACACTCTACACAAACACTGTAATAACTTTGTTAAACAAACTATGCCTCTAAAAGCAGAAGATTGACCTGAAAGACGGCTACTCTTATCCCTCAAGAGAAACCCAAGCACTATGGGAAAAAACAAACCATTAGCTAGTGTGTCGAGACAATTGAGAGCACGTTACAAACTGGGGATAGACCCAGGGCCATGTCTGTACAGGGTTCCGGCATTCCTGCTGGGTCACTGCAGTTTCCTCTCTTTAGACTGGGTCAGGAACAGAAGCTTTCCTTTGCAGTCATGAGTGAAAAGTACCCAGAGAAAGACAGGACTGTAAAGGGAATATAGATTATGAGGAGACAGAAAGTGCCCATGCTGGGGTTCATCATGAACATGATCCCTCACCCCAGCCTCGATGCTTTGGCACTTCATAAGTTTCTTGATGCCAATGCACAATCCTAAGTAATCCTCAAATTCCCTAAGGTTAAGTTTCATCACCCACCTAAAATGGAAATTTAGAATTAAAGTATTTGGTTATAAACATCATGTTTCCTCAATCTCTTGATCAGTTCTTTCATCTTACTTACTCTTCTATTTTGAGATAGGGTCTCATTATGTAGCTCTGGCTAGCCTGGAATTCACTGTACAGACCAGGCTAGCCTCAAACTCTCAACCCCATGGTGATCCTTCTGCCTCTGTCTCCCTAGTGCTGGATTACAAATTTGAGCTATCATACCCAGCCTCAATTTCATATACATTATGCAATATGGTGATTCTGATCACTAAATAGCCATTTTAAAATCCGTATATATTTAGTTGACAAGATGGCTTTCTTAGTTAGGTTTCTGTTGCTGTGAAGAGATACCAAGTCTTAAAGGGAAAACATTACAATGGGGCTGGCTTACAGTCCAGAGGTTTAATTCATTATTGCATGGCAGGAAGCATGGTGGTGTGCAGGCAGACATGGTGCTGGAGAAAGGAGCTGAGATTTCTACATCCGGATGGGCAGACAGCAGGAAGTGAAAGCCACACTGGCCAGGTTTGAGCTTCTGAAACCTCCAAGTCCCCTAGCAAAGCACTTCCTCCAACAAGGCCACACCTCCTAATAGGGCTACTCCCTAAGGGCCTATGAGGGCCATTCTTATTCAAACCACCACAAAGTTTTAGCAGGTAAAGGTGCTTATTGCCCAGTTCAGCAATCTGAGTTTAATCCCTGGAACTCACAGATAAAAACGGATTCCCACACTTGGCCATCTTACCTCCATACTTGGTTGACATGGTATGTTAGGGTTCTCTAGAGTCACAGTACTTGTAGAATGAAATCCCGTGTGTGTGTGTGTGTGTGTGTGTGTGTGTGTGTGTGTGTGTGCCTGCGCATGCATGCATGCGTGTTTGGGGCTGATTTATGAGAATGACTTACAGGCTGCAGTCCAACAATAGTTAGCTGTGAATGGAAAGTCCAAGAGTCTAGTGGTTGCTCAGTCCCATGCGGCTGGGCATCTCAGCTGGTCTAATGCACACGCTGGAATCCAGTGAAGTAGAGAGGGGGCAAGCAGGTGAAAAAATAAACAATCCCTTCTTCCATTGTCTTGTATACACTTCCAGCAGAAGGTGTGGCCCAGATTCCTGCCTCAAGACCCAAATGGAAAGCCTATTGTCTTCCTGCCTCAAGGTCCAGATCACAAGTGTCCCTCCATTTCTGGATTACAGTTCATTCCAGATGTAGTCAAGTTGACAACTGAGAATAGGCATCACATATGGCCCGTGTGTGTGCACACACACACAAATAAAAATAAATGAATATGATAACAGATTTTACTTCAGAAAGCCAGAATAATATTTAATGGCAAGTATGTTAACATATCAACATGCTAATTTAGGACAAGTCACCTGTAAAATTATACATGTGGTCAATGGGACATGTGGATTTCCAGTTTATAATGGATTATTATGAACTTCTTTAGTTGGTTTGGCTTGATGTTTCTTGAGACAAGATCTCATACAGCTCAGGCTGCTCTTGAACTCCTGATTTTTTCGCCTTCACCTCATAAGTGTTGGGGTTGCAGCCATTATCACTATGCTCATTTTATTAATCAATGGGAAAAATAAAGACTAAGAAGTCATCCGTCATGATTGTATCTCAGGAAGTCCTTCGACTAAGATGAAGCTCGGGTAAGAGACTTGCTGGGAAAGCTGATATCCACAGAAGGGGTGGGCCTGGAAGCCTGGAAGGGATGCTGAGACATCTGGAGCTGGGCAAGACGATCCTGAAAAAAGGGGTATCTTGGAGAGGAAACTTGATGTTTTGAAACTGGCTTTTCCTTTGGACAATTGCTCACTCTGAGCACTGAGTGAGAGGTCAGAAAGCCAGGCATGACACAAGGGGAGCCGCTAAGGACGAGGCCACAGCAGACCCGCAGCCGTGGGGCCAGAGGAGTCTTCTGAGCAGAGGTCAGGGTGTAATTCGTGGTCTGACCAAATTCTGATGCTCCATTAAAATCAAACAGAAAACCTCTAAAAACGGAACAGCTGGACTTTTTATTTTTTGTTGTTGCTGTCCTTTTGTCTCAAAAGACACATGCAGGAAAAAAAAAAAAGACACAGTGAGCACTGGGCCCTGGAAGACCTCTTAGGTAGAATTCATTTCCAGAAATAGGCTGAGTCCAAGACAGTAAAGAGCCTCAGGAGCTTACAGAACAACGCCCCCTCAAGAACATTCTAGTGAAGGTAAAGCTATAGACACTGAAAATACTGGAAGTTTTCAAGGCTTGACTGAGAGGACTTTGGAGGGGGGGCTGCTCTGCTTGATCCTTTAATGTGATATGGGTCATTTGCTGGAACACACAGTACACATACCATCATGAGAGAGGCCAGGTTGTAAACTTTGCACACTGGATGACAGTGAAGCAATGGCAGGCTCATCACTGGCGAAAGTCCTACTCTGGTGGGAAGTGTTGACAGCTGGGGAAGGCTGTGTGTGGAGGAAGACGGGAATCTCTGCAATTTTTCTCAATTGTGCTGTGAACCGAAAACTAAGCTTTGAAATAAAGACGACAGAAAGTAAAAGAAAGAGGAAATAAAAGAAATAAAAAGGAGAAATGGGAAGGAAGAAAAGAAAAGGAAGGGAGGGAGAGAGGGAGGGACAGAAAGAAGGAGGTAGGGAGGGAGGAAAGGAAGGAAGAAAAGAAGGAAGAAAGAAAAGAAGGAGGGAAGAGAGGAAGGAAGGAAGGAAGGAAGGAAGGAAGGAAGGAAGGAAGGAAGGAAGACAGCAGGCAGGCAGGCCAACCTTCATTGCACCCGGAGCTGAGTCTGTCCTGGCTGTCCTCAGATCCCTAATAGAGAAAACATCCAGAGGAAAAACAGAATAGACATCTAATCCAGGGACTTTAGCGGCCACAAGCAGTGTCACCGTTGATTTCTCATTTTGATAAGATCTAGAATCACCCACAAGGAGCCTCTGGGCACACCCATGATGTATGTTATTAATTAGGTTATTTGAAATGGGAAGCCCCACCCTAAATGCCATCTTATGTTCCAACTGCTTTCCTAGTTCACCTACCTGTGCTGCTGGTGACTTCGTGCTGCTGCCGCCATCAGCGCCACCACCACCACCTCTTTCCTTCACTGACATCACAGCCCAGCTCTCTGCCTTTCAGCATGAAGACTAGCTGTCCTTCAGGAACCCCCTAGGCCGTAAGCACCAGCATGAGACTGTGGAGTCGGCTAGGTTCGTGGGACTGAGACAGACATTGATGGACTACCTGTTAGTATTCAGGCGCACCTTGGCCCTGCCCCTTAGGCACAGTCACCCCTCGGCTTATGACAAGCAGTTCCACTATGTGCAGTGGCCAGGGCACTTTAAGAGACAAGCTGTGCCCACACCTGGTCACTCTCTTCCCAGCAAGCCTGTCTCGGGGGTCTTTCCTCTCCCCTTCTCTCTCTCTTCTCCCTCTTTCTCTGTCTCTTTCTCTGTCTCTCTGTCCCTCTCTCATTCTCTCTTCCTGACCTTTAAATAGAACTCCATACTCAGGCTCTCTTTGCAAGCCACACTTGGTCACCAGCCACCATTTGGGTCTTCCCTGCTATGGAACACAGCAAAAGTCCCTCTAGCACCATATCTTACACTACCAGGCTGTATTATGTAAACCAATTGATCTAACAAATCCCTTTTAATATCTCTATTCTGCTACGGACCGGCTCAGGGGAGTCATTCAGACCGTGAGGGAATCAGGGTGAAGGACGGAAGATTTCAGGATACGGCGGAGGAATTTGACAGACAGACCACTCTCAATGTATTTTGAAAATGCTGCTGTACTTTACTTATTCAGTGCGAGGTTTTTATATTATTACAAACAAAGAACTTGGCAAAGGCATACATCATCAGATCATAAAATAGAAAAGAACGGCATAAAACAGTTTTACAAAGAGAATCTTTAAAGATGCTTTGGCATGAGTACAAGGACTTTTGCTT